GTGACTGGCGCCTTAGCCACTTGAGCCACAGGCGCCGAGCCACAAGTGAATCTTTCTAAGAGTAGAATGTGAACGTTTTAAAACAATAACTGAGAAAATGACATGAAGGCTGTGTTGACTAGTTTGATGGAAGTATTTTGGATTGCATGTGAAAACCCCACACTGTACCCAGAAGTGCATTAATGTACATAGTTGCCATTCAATAAAAACAACAACAACAACAACAACAAAGTACAAGGCTATTTGGGAAAAAGAAATGGCCATTCTCTATTTTGGATAGTTTTATAACGTGTAGTTTGAGGATTACCCACTTTGGACTTATATGAAGAGATTCTCAGCCCCATTTCTAATTTTAGTATGTGCTGCTAAAGTAAGCATCAGCCCCATTTCTGATATACGACATCAGAATCTTCTAGCAGGGCTCAGGAATCTGTATTCAAATAACCTCTGTAGATGATTATTATGTATGCATAAGTCTGGAAACCAATTACCTAAAGGGGTAATTTTTAAAAGTAAAGCACCAGAGTCATTTGAGTTGTTGGATTCTTTCCTGTTACAGACCACAGACCAGACTTCAAGGAGCATCATGTAAAAACCTAATTATAAGAAGCCTAAATATAATTTTAGGAGACTAATAATTAACAAATCTATTTACAAGATTGTATGTCCTTTTGTTATAAATTACATGTGTGAAATCTTCAATGAATTATATGTGTGAAACATGTCAAAGAATTATTTGGTGGGTGTAGTTTAATCCTGACTTGCCTGTCATAAAATTAACCAGCTGCCCAAAGTTTTTACTATTCTACCCACACATGAGTCTCTAGTAACCCCTGAGGCATTCTCTGTACAAGCTTCATTTCCTGTATAAAAGGAAATTGGCTTAAAATGAACTGAGTTTGGTCAACTGCACAAAACTTACACTGATTAAACTTAAACTGGTTATCAAAGGGGAATATGAATTCTGCAGCTGTGGAAATGTTTTAAAATAGGAAACACAACTATATTTTTGGATAAGCAGGGTGGCCTAAAGCTAGAAGATCCAACAGAAGGTTAAAGCTAGATTCTTTCTGGTTTTATAATTTGATTAATTCCCCCATCCATTGAATATTAACCTGTTTTTGTTTGCTTTGGTTTTTACCCAGCTGAGCCTGGCAAGAATTCCTTGCTTCTCTCCAGTAATGTAATAGCCTCTTGATAATCCTTTACAGAAACAGTTTAGATACACATAACATCCAAAGGAAACTAATTTGATGATAATACCACACCCAGATAATTGAGGCACCTAAAGGAATTTTTCATTGGAATTATTTGGTTTGGCCAAGTTAATTGGGTAACTCCCCTTCAGTTACACTATATAGTTACTCTTCTTTCTTTCTTTTTTTTTTATTTTGAGACAGAGTATCACACTGTCACTCTGGTTGGAATGCTGTGGTGTCATAGCTCACAGCAACCTCAAACCCTTAGGCTCAAGTGATCTTGCCTTAGTCTCCCAAGTAGCTGGGACTACAGGCTTTCATAATACTGGATGTTGTAGAGGGGCCTATAGCCCCAGCTACTTGGGAGGCTGAGGCTATTTTTAGAGATGGGAGTTTTGCACTTGCTGGGGCTGGTCTCAAACTCCTGAGCTTGGGCAGTCCACCCACTTCAGCCTCCCAGAGTGCCAGGATTACAGTTGTGAGCCACCATACCCAGCCCCAATAGCCTTGTATTTAGAAAATTTAAATAAACAAGTAAACATTTAGAAAAGGAATCCTAGGATCCAGCTGAGAATAATGAAAGGGACATATTTTCAATTTAAAGAACCTCAAAACCACCTACCCACAAATATCCTCTAAAAGATTCCATAAATCTGAAATTCTGAGGAATTCATGTTCCTCAGAATGTAACGTACGGTGCAAATAATTCTGACATTGCTTAATAAATCACTCTTTAGTGGGACTAACTTTAACACATAATTCAGTTATTACCTTAATATCCAGCTGATATAAGCAAATTCAAGAACTATTAATTGATCATTTGGGACTTGATTCATTTTATCTATTTTTTTTTTTTTTTTTTTGGAGACAGAGTCTCACTCTGTTGCCCTGGGTAGAGTGCCATGGCATCATCTTAGCTCGCAGCAACCTCAAACTCTTTGGCTTAATCTATTTTAAAACATTAAAAACAGGGCAGCACCCTGTGGCTCAGTGGGTAGGGTGCTGGTCCTATATACCGAGGGTGGTGGATTCGAACCTGGCCCTGGCCAAACTGCAACAAAAAATAGCTGGGTATTGTGGCAGGCGCCTGTAGTCCCATCTACTCGGGAGGCTGAGGTAAGAGGATCATCAAAGCCCAGGAGTTGGAGTTTGCTGTGAGCTGTGACGCCAATATTGCACTCTACTGAGGGTGATAAAGTGAGATTCTGTCTCTTTAAAAAAA